TTAAAGGTAGAAATGGAGACACAGAAATGTTAAGTACCTTATCAGAGTTTATACAGCTAATTAATGTCATTGTTAGGATATGAAGCTAGGCAGTTAGGCCCCACAGTCCATACACCTAATCACTAAACCATGAAGATTAAAAAAAAAAAAAAAAAAAAACCACAATCTCTCTTTGACCTTGTCAAGCTTTTTAACATTAATGTTCTTTACAGAATGGGGGTCAGACCCACTCTCAAGACAAGCAGATTTTTCTATCTGGCCTACACGTGGGCATTCTTGGATTTAATTATTTTCTTGTGAAACCCCACAGGATTATGTCACAAAGCAATGTGGAACTTTTCCGGGACACTAATGTGAATGACAAAAATCGTGCAAAGCTTGTCCATCAGAATAAGACACTTGGCTAGTACAGGGAGGGGGACCAATGAAGGACCACCATCTACCTGAACACATAGCTGTATTTTCCTCTTCTTATCTGTACGCATACAAGAATTCCAAAGGAATGGTATACCCGTGGTGGTATTCCCCAACTTGGAACTTACCAAAGTTTTAAGGTGTATCCCTAGAAAAGTGTCAAGGACCTTCTCCATGCTCCTAGCTGACACTCTCTTATGCGGGCTCCTGAATTATAAATCTTTGTATAATAGAGGAAGTCAGAAATGGTGTCACATTTAAGCATATCAGCTTTCTTGATTTCAAGGGAGATAATACATAACATTGTTTATGAAAAGAAAAAAAATCATACAACTATTTTAAGAGATGAGTCACTATGGTAACCATTTCTCTGCTTGAATTTAAAGAGGCAATGCCTTCTGCTACTGGAAGTTTCTCTCAGCTTTTAGCTGCAGATATTATGTATTATTTTCTACTGTTTGGTTTTTTTTTTTTAGTCTTATACCAAGTAAGTCTTCGCGTTACCTTTCTTAATGGAAAATCTTGTTATTCTATAAACTAACTCATTGCATATTTCATCATTAAATGGAAATTATTGGTTGGAGCACCCTCAAAGACAAAAACAATGATGACATATCTCATCCAGAGTGTTCACGGGGGTCATACATGCCTTGAAACGTTTGAGTGCTTCTTTAGGCAATGATTTCAAATATCTGTGATTTTTTTCCAGAAAACCATTTCCTAGACTAATATAGGAAAGTTAATACATATAATTCTGTATTTTGCACCAAGACAACTTTGTACCCACATTATTTTCTTATTTATCATAGAGAGTCTCCTTCCTGCACTCCCATTAAGTTACGCATGTCCTATCATAGAAAAAAAGTCATCTTTCCCAATCAATGGCAAATATTTCCCATATTTCCTGCAAACAGGAAAGATGATAAATTTTGTTCTGTTTTAACAATACTTCCCCAATCCCACTTAGCCCCATTAGTGCTTGCTGCAATAAACAGAGAACCACAATCTCAGAATAATAATTGCAGTAATAACAGCTATCACTCAGTAAGCACTAGCTCTGTACCAGACCCTGTTCCAAAAGTGCACATAAGTACTATATTTACAAACTTGGCATAACCAAGGAGAGCCAGAGATGATGTGCATTTATTTTAAAGATTTTATTTATTCAAGAGAGAAAGAGAGTGCGAGTTACCAGGAATTGGGGGAGAGGGGAGCAAAGGGGGTGGGAGAGAGAATCTGAATCAGACTCTATGCTCAGCTCACCACAGAGCCCGATCCCACAACCCCAAGATTAGGACCTGAGCCAAAATCAAGAATCAGATGCTTAACTGACTGAGCCACCCAGATGCCCCAATAGTGTGCACTGAAAGATCCTGGATTTCTTTATAAAAAAGAAATGCCCCAATAGTGTGCACTGAAAGATCCTGGATTTCTTTATAAAAAAGAAATAATATTTAGCATTGATTATAAGGGTTTCTCTTTTCATCTCATGACAACCACATGAGCTTGCTAAGGGCATTCCGTGTCCTGTGAATCCTCCCTGAACCCCTTGTACAGATTAAGAAACCCAGTCATTTTTCCTCTGGTGTCATAATTCATGCACTGGGTATAACCGTATTAATAAGACCTCAAGAACAATGGCTCATACTGGATAAAGAGAGAAAATGGGCCGATAAAACATATAATAAATATTCAACACTCCAAGTCATGAATGCACAAAACACCATTATCTCCCAGAATATTATATTAAAGCATCATATTTGTTTTTCATTTTTTGTAATATCCCTGCTGTTCTGAATTTATGCTTTATGTAAGCAATGATATTATGAATACTATATTTAGACAGGAGGGGGGGCATGGAACTTCCATATTTGTCTATACATCAGATGAACATACGGTTGTCACGTGTTACCACTATTTTTCTTTTTTAGGTGGACGAGTAAATCATAGTAACAAAAAAAAATCATGCTTAAATCAAAGGCCTTATTTATGACTTTGGTAGTTTGCTATATTACACTGGTTTATGAAAGACAGTCAAGTGATTTAACCAATCTCTCTTCATATTCAACTACTGTTTCCAGTAAACACCCTCACAAACTCTTTTTACAACCCTAGAGAGCATATAACAAAACAGCAATGAAATGTACTTCAGCACTAAACACCTGATACACCCCTGTGAACCTTCCATGATATTTAACTATATCCAGAGCATGTAAAAATTAATGGACTAATGGTAAGCAGGGCTCAGAATCCAGGCCTCCTCTCTGTTCCCTGCGCGATGTGCCTCAACCACGAAATGTTCATGGCCGGCTGTGGCTATGGTCCCTGACTGTCTCCTGTTGTAATGTACATCAGCCTTTCTCCTAAACTGGCCAAGTGTAGGCACGTTCTAGGGCAGTCGTCTCTTGACAAGACTACGATGGCACTTGCTTTTTCTAAAATCGGCTCTACGATTTATTTTTAAAAATTGGGTCCCGCAGAGATGAAAACTGGTGATAGAATGGACTTTTTTTACCCCTTAAAAAGGAGATGAGAAAGACAATCTCCACTAATTATCCCAAGTATATGTTTCACATCATCATTCCTTATGCCCTGTAATTCCCTAAAGCAAGGCCCATTCAGCCAAAGAGGATATTATTCAGTCTTTCATACATAGGTAAATTATTTTCTGCAGTAAAATCCCAAAGGGCTTTGCAAAATTTCAGTTAGTCGAGTGAGCAAAGAGTAATGGGTACGTTCTAGAAGGCCCAATAATCTTTCTGGCCCTTTGGGAGTACTTAGTTTATACATTTTGCCTAAATACCTAAGGGAAATGAAATGGGTAATTTCTTTATTTCACTGGTGTAGGTTCAGAGCACTCATTATATTAATCCTAATAACTCTCCTTGGAGGCAGGTAGGTGGCCACTTCATTAATATTGCCACCCAGCTAAGGAAAGGACTCTTGATGGCTTGCCCTTCCCCTCCTCTCCCTTCCCCCAAGACAGCTAGGCAGCTGCCCTGGGAGATGGAAACAGGGGCCCATCTATTGGTCCTGAGCATACTAGCCACTGAAACTGCTTTTTAATCAGCTTAAATGGGCTTGTTTATTTCCCACTTTTCTGTTATTGAAATAGAAGTGAAAATCTGCTTTCAAACCAGTGTATCAGCATCTCCCTCCTTGGCTGGCCTGACCTTCAGGCAGTGCAGCTGCCTGAGTAGAGTTAAAAATGGACTGTCAGGCTGGCTTTAATTTCTGCTGCCCTGCCTCCCAGGGTCCTCCCACTGATCTGTTTATCACACCCTCCTTACCCCTTCTGTTGTTGTTTTTCTTACTATGAGTGTTTAGCCTGGACAGCTGAAACTGTTTTTCAAGGCCCTAACCTACAGATCCTTGTACACATAATCCAAAAGAGACCAGGAGCCAACACTAGCTCCTTCTACTTGTACACAGTCTTCCCCTCCAGGCATCGCTTCCCTTTCCCTCCTGACCCACCACCTTCTTAGGGAGTGACCACTCTGAGCAGACCATCTCCTACTGCACATCAAAGCAGGAGAGGGGGAGCGTAGTAACTTTGGAAGAAAACATAGTATTTGGCCTCCTGCTTATGGGTTGTGCGAGCATGTTGCGTCTGTGCACGGTCCGACCGGTACGTGCGATCAGGTTCAGAACTGCGCATCAAGCCTCACAAGGAATATCCCTGGCAGTTTCTAAAACTCCTCTGTATCTTCACCGCTCCAAGCCCCTTCAAGACTGCCCAGGAGCACAGGACTGGCCAGAAAGGTCTGCCTCTGGGTATGACAACTGCTCCAGGCCAGCCGAAAGAAGCAGCTAAGGTCCCACTAATGGTTTTGCTTAGTTTTTGGCAAACTCCCCTTCATTCAAGCTCCCGGCGCTCTGGAGCCAGGTCTAATTGGAAGAGTACCAGGCTCACCCTGCTAGCGGAGAAAACGCATTAGTCATAGATGAAACCACCTTAGGGTGCCAGGAGAGGAGTGGAAGATGAAGACCCTTCCTAAAATGCTGGAAAGCCTCCGATGCGGAAAAGGCGAGCTAAATCTGGTCGCGGGCAGGAGGGAAAGATGTAGAAACCCACGGAGTAGAGTTGTCTTGGTTAGAGGCCAGAACTAAATGCATAAATGATGTTCATTGAACATCAAAACAAATATTAACAAAGTTTCAGTACGACACAGCGAAGCCTCAAGTCAGGGTAATAGACAAAGGACGGAAAGCTCTTGCTGCCCGGGACAGAATCTTAACAAGAGCACCAGAGGCGTGAGAGTGAGCGCGCGCTGGGGGTGGGGTCGCGCTGAAGAATCCAAGTCAGAAGTGGAAGCAAGTGGTCAGTTTTCGGCGGGTCGTACACCCGGAATTGCAGCCTCGGTGACCTGCGGCCCACCCAGGAAACAGCAGGTGTCTACCCTGCCGCAAGCTTATCCTCAATTCCCAGCGGCTCCCCTTGGGCCGCGGCAAGTGTCTGGGTTGAAATGCAACCCGACCCCGGGAAGGGCGGGGCGCAGGGCTGCGGAGGGGTGGTGCAGGTAGGCGGGCCGCGGCCGGGTGAGGAGGCTGGGCCTATAAAGCTCTCCCGGCCCCAGGGGCGATGCTGCTCAGTGGAACGGGTGCTGCGTGGGCTGGGGGTCGACCAGTGCTTGCGTCTGCAGGTCCCCGAGCCTCCGAGGGAGGAGGTTATTGAGAAGAGTCCCTGCCTCCGTCTACTCCGTCTCTTTGCCCTCGAGCGCCCGGGTCCCGCGAATTCAAGGCAGGTGAGCGAGGCAGCGGCCTCTGGGGACGGAGCGGGGGCGGAGGGCTTCGCTGCTCCCCGCCCGGCAGTGCGTTCCACGGAGCACATCGGCTCTGAGTTTCGTTAACTTTAACTTAGTTTTAGGTCGTGACTGTAGCTGGCGTCTCCGCTCCCCGGGCTTTGGAAACTTGAGTTGCGGAGGCCTGTTCCTCCCCTTTGGAAATTGACTTCCTCCGCTAGTGCGCTCCCGGGACGCTGGGCGTTTTAGAAGCCTCTGCGCAAGACGTCTTGCCTGCTTTTGCAAATCCATCCTTCTTCCTTTTTCCAGCGCCCCGGAAAGGCCGTTCCGCCCCGCGAGGGAAACAGAGCCGTTGACCATGGTTGCAACTGGCAGTTTGAGCAGTAAGAACCCGGCCTGCATTTCGGAGTTGCTGGACCATGGCTTCCACCAGGAGAGCCTGCTAAATGGTGAGCGTCTCAGCTGCCCACCTCTCTCTCCTCCAAAGGTCGCGGCCCCTGGATAGATGAGATGGGAGAGCGGGCAATGTCGCCCCCTTCCTCGATGTAGGGTGTGCCGCAAAATCCCTCTGAAAAGACTTCTTTCAAACTTTCTAGCATCTTCTGTTCATGGTAGTGAGAAACAAAAGAAGCAAAAAACAAAAACAAAACCAAAACAAAACAAAACAAAAAAAAACGAAGACTGCATGGTTTAGTTTTCGGCTAAGAGGGTAGTTTGGGGGTTAAAAGTTAGATAGGTTCCTTAAGGGGTTGTGAAGTTACGGTGAATTTGAAGTGTACAATTTTGAATTTTAACAACGTATTCTCCTCATAACCACTGCCATTGCTCTCTACCCCCCAAATTCCCATGCGCCCATTTGCCATCAATTTTCCACTCTCCCTCTCCCCTGTCCCCAGGGAAACACTGATTTGCTTTTTGTTACCATAAATTAGTTTTGCCTCCACAGTTTCATACGAATAGAATCATGTAATACATACTCTTTTGCATATGATTTCTTTCTGCCTGCTTCATAATTCTGAGGTCCTTTAAAGGGGTTGCTTTCACCAGTGTGTGTTCCTTTTTATTGCTGAGTAGTATTCTATTTGTGGATATACCCAGTATTCCGTTTTTAATGCAGGAAGGAAATTTTAAAACAGCAGTGGTGCTGGACATACTTTGATTTGCAATTTTAAACAGCAGTTTCTAGGTTAGCACACTGCTCTGCCACTAAGGAGCTGTGTGGCATCCGCAAATTGCTTAATTTCTTTGGGCCTTCCTCACTTAGAAGGTCAAGTGGTTGATGATCTAATTTTATAGGACAAAGCTCTAAAATGTTCTGTCTTCAGCATAGGTAAAATATGGAGCCTTCTCATTTGGAGTACATTTGTTTCATTGAGTTGTAAAAACGAAAACAAAAACAATGACCTAACTGAATAGGTGATGTGGGGAGAGGGAGACAGTAGCCAATGAAGATGAAGTATGCTTAGGGAGGGGTTGCCCAGTTGACTGCGTGTGTGGTGTGTGGTGTGGCATCCTGTCAAGAGGTAGGATTAATTTGGAAGGTAGGTGACCAAATGCAGAGCTATCTCTTTTCCTTTGAGCAAATCTAATTTTATTTTCCTAGGACAGTTTTGTTTTGCTTGGTGAGGAAAACTACCCAGCCAGTTATAAATATCCTGGTGGACCTCAAAGGTCTTCCCTTTGAGCAATTTTTAATCAAAGAGGTTGAAGCTAAAATTGGGATCCATAGACCATTCCCATAGAGACTTTTAAAGAAAGACACAGATTCGATATTTAATATAGCTCATCAAGTTCCTTTTAAGTTCATTAGTAAGGAGCAGTAGCAAAAATCCTGCATTTTTCAATTACAAACACATGTAATTCTTAGAAACGAACAGTCTCTTCATCAAAAAAAAAAAAAAAAAAATGATGACCATTTTTATTCCCAAAGTGAAGCGTGTTCTCTGTGAAACAAAATTAGAAAACCCTCAGAGCAAGTAAGGGAGCAGGAAAGAAAAGACAGTCACTGGTGTTCTAGGAAAACCATATATAGATTTTTGATCCAGTCTGTAAGACACATGTACATTTAAAGGAAAAGGGTCCAACCTATTTATCAAAACTTTCATAGATGCATTTTCAATCTCCGAGAGGTTCAGTGATTTGCCCTGTTACCCAGCTAGGCAGCCCCAAAGTGAAGTCTGCTGACTCCCCTACAAATATGAGCAACAGGCATGTTGCTCATATGACATGGTAGAAGTAGCCCGCGTTGCTATCTTGGTGTGCTTTACCTGCTCTGGGATTTCTTTCTTTCTTTCCGTCCTTCATCTCCAACTTCCGCTTCCTACAGATTTTGACTACTGGGATTACGTTGTTCCAGAACCGAACCTCAATGAGGTGATGTTTGAGGAGACAACTTGCCAGAGTTTGGCGAAAATGCTGGAGAACTGTCTGTCCAAATCAAAGCAGACCAAACTCGGTTGTTCGAAAGTCCTCGTCCCGGAGAAACTGACCCAGAGGATTGCTCAGGATGTCCTGCGGCTGTCCTCCACGGAGCCCTGCGGCCTGCGAGGTTGCATCATGCATGTGAACTTGGAAATCGAAAACGTATGTAAAAAGCTGGATAAGATTGTGTGTGATTCGAGCGTGGTGCCCACATTTGAGCTGACGCTTGTGTTTAAGCAGGAGAACGGCTCATGGACTAGCTTCAGGGACTTTTTCTTCAGCCGAGGTCGCTTCTCCTCTGGCCTCAAGCGAACTCTGATCCTGAGCTCGGGATTCCGACTCGTGAAGAAAAAGCTTTACTCCTTGATTGGAACCACAGTCATTGAAGAGTGCTGAAGAGCAGAGATTTCAAAGGTCCTTTTTATGATTGGGTCCTTAACACTACGCAGCTGCTCCGAGAGAGTCATTTTAGTCACCCTGCCTGCTCTCTACGTTTGAAACCCCAAACTGAGTCATCTCCCTTCCAGGCTTCATATTTACGGCAACCCAACTAAAAGGCTGAGTTCATGGCTTTTGAGAAAGGACCAGAGAAAGTGTACAATTTTTTGCCTATATCACATGTTTTTACAAAATGGCATGGACTAAAAGAAGCAGTCCACTTTAGTTTTCTATTTGACCTTGCTTTTTCCAGGTAGTCTTGCTAAATAGACGATAAACCGAATGTGCGTAATTCGATTTTCATATGGCTTTTTTTCTGTATGTTTTAAGCATAATCCTTTCAATCACAGAAACATCATGATGCTTAGTCTGTCGAAACTTCCAGAAGCCCACACCGCTTTCCTGCCCCTACTGAAATACGGGTTCCTAGACTGGAGGTTAGAACTTTGTGGGTGAATGTAATTAACACTTCACCCCATGCAAGAGTGATATATAAGAAATGCCGGAACAAGAGCAGAACTACTTCTGTGTTTCTTTGCATTTTCTCTGTGCTTCTGTTTTAGAGGTGGCAAAAGGCTGTATTGGCCTCCATGTAACCACAGTATTGTTTAAAATAACTTTACGGTACATTCCAAGCTCCGTAATTCTAGTTCTCAAATACTGAATGTTATCTTTAAGCTAGAGGTGTGGAAAGGGTTGAACAGATTTTTTTTTGCATACAGTTAATCACTCTTCCTTCCCCTGAGGGCATTGGTGACTGTGTAAGGGGCTGGGAAGTGAGTTCTCAGATCCACTTCCCTTCTCATTCATTTGATAATCTAGCTTCTTTTCATTAGCACAGATGCTTACCCTCAGATGAAGCATCTCACCCGGTCAGTGTTATCTGGCTCTGACCTCTCCTGGGAACTGAGGTGTTTCTCCTTAACCTGAATCTTCAAAGGAGATCGTAGGTACATGTTACCATTTTCTTGATCAACATGGGCCTATTTATAAAGTCTTCTCTGGCTAAGAATAGCTGGTGTACAGTACAGACCAGGGAATGAAAATCATGGTCTAGATAACCAGTTTTCTTCAGCCTTGGAGATGTGTCCCTCGGGAACAAGAAAGGCCTGATTTTTTTTCTTGTTCCTCCTAGGTATGTCCTTAGCCATTCTTGTTTTATATTAATGAGAGAACGTAGCCTCCAGACTGCAGTATTCAATACAGCAAGGCCCTCATATTTTTGCTGTAAATCACAGAGAAGGAGCTTGGTCAGGTCTCCTGCCCAAATTATCAGTACCACTTTAGTGTACCACTAAAGCCAGGGTTATAGGGACAAGTGTCTTCATCCTGGTGTTGCTCAAAAGTGGGTGTGATCCTGTTATGGATCCTATATGTGACCTAAAATTTCACAACTCAAATCAAGCAGTCTAAGAAATCTAACTCCTCACCTGTTTGAAAAGATACGGTAAGGCAGAGTCTTACGGGACTGGGCCTGGAGCAGTTGACCTCGTTTGCATGTCTGTTACTGTTTCCGGCTTAAAAGTCACCTGTGATTCTGTGGGCATGGCTTCTCTGGCTTGGATGTAGAACCATTGTCCTACCACTAACAGTCGTCATTGACTCTTATCTTTTGTGCTCACAAAATGGTGATGGCTTATGGAGATTCTAAAATTAATATTCCTATTAAAGGAAATTAAAGTTTGTCTATTTTTGACAATAAAGCATCATATATTTTTAATTCTGTTGTCTTCTTTGTCTTGAATGAGTTTATAAAGTAATCACCTGAAAATGTATCTGACAGTATTTAAGGGAAGATGACAAAACAATTACCGCTTTTTGACGGCTCTTTTTACCCTTACTTATATTTTCCCATTGTATTTATCACATGTGCGTATGTATCGATAGTGATTTGCCTCATAATTTTTTGATTACGATAATACTTTTTATAGAAAAACATTAATAATTTGAGTTCCTTTGGCAACCACCTTTTTGCAAACCAAACATGATTGTGTAAACTTTTTCTGTAGTTTTTTGAATGACCAAATGCAGACTTATCAGACTGTAAGATCAGTGTACATTTTGATTTTCCTTAGTTTATTCCACTTGAACAACATGTCTTTCTAATTCCACTCTTACTCATCAAGTTGAATTTTTAATCTTTTCCACCCATCTTTTCTGTCTCCTTATGGTCATTAGCTCAGATTTCTCACACTGCTGAGCCCACATTTAATAAGACTTACTGAGTATTGGGCCCTGTTCTGGATGCTTTACATAAATGATCTCCTTTACTTCTCCCAGAACCCTATAAAATGAGACCACTGTCCTCTTCATTTTGTAGGTAACTGACCAGACACAGGTTTAGTAACTTGCCCAAAGTCACCAAGTTATGCTGGATGCCAGAGAACTCTGTAGAACCAAGTCAACTCCAGAGACTTAGCTCACCATGCTGACACCGAGTGCCCAAGACAGGATAGAGACCTTATCCACATCACCGAAAAACTGGAAGAAGGATGTCAGACACCTCTGTCTCTCAATTCAAAGAAAGAATTACTAACGTTTCTTTTCAGGTAGGAAAAATGAGGAAGCTACTGTCAATATTCACCATTCACTGGAGCAGAGCGATGGTTTGAACAAAAAACCGTCCAAATGTTTGAAATACATGCACTTCAGTCCTGGCACCTGCATGCCTATCTTGTACAATTGGCCTGGCTGCTTTCTCACATACCTTCACAAAAAGGTATAATCTTGGGGCACCTGGGTGGCTCAGTTAAGTGTCTGCCTTCGGCTCAGGTCATGATCCCAGGGTCCTGGGATGGAGCCCCGCATCGGGCTTCCTGCTCAGCTGAGAGCCTGCTTCTCCCTCTCCCTCTGCCTGCCACTGTGCCTACCTGTGCTCTGTCTCTATCTCTCTGTCAAATAAATAAGTAAAACCATTAAAAAAGAAAAAAAAAGGTATAATCTGTCCCCTATCTCCTCCAGCAGAGAATAAACCCTTAGCTAGAGAGTGGTGGCCACCTAAAAGAACGGGATGTTTTATTTTCCTCCTATAAACAAAAAAATAGTATTACAGTAACGGACTCAGTCTTCCGAATATATTTCACCAATAATAATCTAGATCCTCATGGAGTCAGCTTCAAGTCGCACTGCTGACAGTTTCCCATTTGCATAGCAGAAGAATGTGCAAGCATAAAAATCTTAGGTCTATGACACTTAGTTCTCAATGATCCATGTTAGTTTAAACAAATGATAATAATAACAGAAGTCCAAGGCAGGTGGATGGCAGGATGAGAAGGGAAAGGTACATGGGGGTGTGCAGGGAGGAGCATCACGCAGATATTCAGAACCCCAGACTCTTAAGTAGATTCCACCATGGATTATAGACTCACATGACTCCATTGGATCCCCCTGCATCTGCCACAGGCAAGGGAAGAGAGAAACTGGAAAGGATTTCATGGGAAATTCAGGGACCCGGTGTGGAAGTGTTCTACATGATTTCTGTCCACATCCCCTGTAGAACTTAAGTCACCTGGCCCCATCAGTTCCAGAAGGGGCTGGGAAATGTGGTGGGGTGGAGCCAGAAGGAAGTGGGCTTGAGGAACTTGTTCTGTCACAGAGAGCAAAGTAAGTTAGTCTGTGAACCAAGAGAGAGCCCAGACCCAGCCCTAGCCATATAAGGAAAGTTGATTTACAGCAGAATTGGCACTTTAGATCAACCGGTAAATGATGGTGTTTTTAAATAATTGGCTATAATAAGCATTTATCTGCATGAAAAAAATGGAATTGGATGCCTACACATCAAGCATAAAAATCCATTCCAGAATGATTAAAAAACTCAGTGTGAAAGGGAAGCTTTCAGAAGACAATATAATTGTCACAATTTTTGTGTAGGGAAAGATTTCTTAAATAAGAAGCAAAGAAATCACTGAGACTCCTGTTTATCACGTAACACTATAAAGAGAATAAAAACACAAATCACGAACTTGGGAGAAAGTAGCTTCTCTACATATAACTGAGAAAGAGTAACGAGAATATATTAAGAATCCTTTCCAAGCAATTAGAATAGCACAAACAACCCAAGAGAAAAAATATGGGCAAAATCTTGAACACACTACAGAAAAAGAAGCCCATATGGCTGATAAGCATATGAAAAGATGCTCACTCTAACCAGTAATAAGGGCAATGCAAATTAAAAGCACAAGACACCAATGTGTAGACATCCGTTGTAGTTTAAAAAAAAAAAAAGATGGAAAAAGTTTAAAATCTGAAAATTCCAAACATTGGTGAAGATATGGGAAAAAAAAAATTACTTCGACATGCCAGTCGATATGTGTATCCCTGCACTCCGGCATTAGTTTGTGGAGTTCAAGTTTAACAGATTTTATGAGTCATCAATTCCATTTTTAGTTATCAAACCTAGACCAGTGTTCTTCAAACTTTTTTGCTTGTTGCGCTTCTTTAAAATTTTTATAAAAATACATCTCTGTTATATTGTTAAATTGCCGTGCAAAAGTTTAATCCTCAGCCTAAAAAGTTGCAAATGATGTACCTTCCAATATATAGTAAATACCAATCTTTTTTAAATAAAATGATCGCATCATCGTGTTAAATGATTCCAGTGGGATATCAACACAGAGTGATTTATTTATTTTTATTTTTTTAAGATTTTATTTATTTATTGACAGAGAGACAGTGAGAGAGGGAACACAAGCAGGGAGAGGGGGAGAAGGAGAAGCAGGCTTCTCAAAGAGCAGGGAGCCCAATGCAGGGCGTGATCTCAGGACCCCGGGATCGTGACCTCAGGGGAAGGCGGACTTTAATGACGGAGCCACCCAGGCACCCCAGCAGAGTGATTTAAAACAGCAACATTTATTTAGAAAACACAAAAACAAGATCTTCAACAGGATACAATTCTTCAGTGTTACTTTTTCTTTTTTTTTCTGTGCCTTCTTAAAGTCTACTTTTTAAACTGAATCTTATCTTCATATATTTTAAGCTTGAAAGTCTTTTATTTATATTTCTTCTCTACAATAAAAGCAAGATTATAAATTAAAATTATATTTATAAAAATTTCCGGCAATCCTAAGACTTTAAATGTTAATGTTGTGGTTGAATTAATTTTACAAATAATAGTCATACACAATTACCAAAACAACATTAAATATGTTTTTGAACTTTGTAAATACTATTAAATTCAAAAATACTATCTCTTAGTGAGATGAGTCTTTTAAATTAGTGAATTAATTTATGGATCAGTGCTGGTTTTTGTTGGAACTAGAGGATTTAGTATCGTTTCCTATGTTTTGTTTCTACAAATGTAAGCTCAGAGAAAACATTTCTATTACTCAGTAGATGGGGATTGAGGAGATTTGGTTATTACCATATCAAATTGTAATCAATCTTTGAGCTACTTTCAAGATATATGCCAAAATCACATAAATATTAATCACCAAAAATTATTTTCATTGATCAATATGCAGATAATTCAATCTGGCTTTCTTTCAATATTGTTGAAATCAAAGGATTAAAAACCACACCTCATTTGAAAAAGGACTTGCTATTACCTGGATGTATTAGTTAGCTTAGGCTGCCAAAACCAAAAACCACAGATGGGGTGGCTTAAGGAGAAATGTGTTTCTTTGTTGTCCTGGAAGCTAGAAGCGTGAGTTCAAGGTGCTGGCAGGATCAAGGTGTTTCTTCTGGAGGCATTGTCCTTTGCTTGGGCATGGCTGTCCTCTTTCTCAGTCTTCATATTCTCTTTCCTCTGTACTGTTTGTGACCAAATCTCTTCTTACAAGGACATGGATTAGGGATCACCTTAAGGTGATCATCTTTTTAAAGACCCTGCCTTCAGATACAATAACTTGCTGAGGTACTGGGGGGTTAGGATTTCAACATATGAATATCAGGGGTACACAATTCAGCCCATAAAACCAGACCTTCAAATAGTTCCCTTTCCCCATACTATCCTACAGCAATATTTCAAAACTGTCCTTTTGTCTGGTACTTCGCAAGCTAGGTTGTTAGACCCCAAAATATATAGCCTTGTGGTAAGAGAGGCTGTCTTTTGTGAAAGTGGGGGAAGAGGGTCGTTACACAGGAAGTAAACAATCAAGACTTACAGCTCAGATAGCTTCTCAGGGAG